TGCATCTTGCACTGTAGCCAGTCCTGGGGGGGATGAGGGTGGGGCAGCATGGACTGGGATGCTGGGCGCAGCTGAAGTCTAGGGTACCCACCCGCCAGGGTTGGCCAGCGTGACAGCAGAGCTGGAAGAGAAACTGCAGAGGCGGCGGGCACTGGAACACTCAGCCGAGCACCCTGGGGATTAGCGGGCCAGACTCGGAGCGTCAGTCAGACGGATCCCTCCTCCCAGAATTAAAGTTCAAGTGACCCCAAGGCCCGTGAGTGTGACTTGGCTTAGTGGGGCCATGAGGTGTTTGTTCATCAGCTGGCTCCATTCACTCCTAAAGATCCTCAGCTCAGCAAAAACTGCCATCTGACTTTGCCAGAAAAGCCCATTTTACAGCTGGGAAAGCTGAGGTCTAGAGAGTGCCGAGGCACAGCCGGGGTCAGATTCTCTACAAGAACCAGCAGCACACCCGGCCAGTGTTTGACCTTTATTAGGAAGTGAGGTGGGGAGGAGGGCCTGCCCTGGTGCCTGCTTTCTGTTGGTGACCCCCGTTAGGAGTTAAGGCTCCAAGCAGCAAGTGAGAAGAGGGTGCCTGTCTGAAAACAGCCGAGACCTGGTGGTGGCCCCCAAAATCAGCCCAGCTGAGTGCACTGGCCTAGGTGAGGCTGGTATTGGAGCTGCTGGTGGCACTGCCTCGCTTCTGCAGGCAGCGCACGGAGCTGGGGACCTGTAGGCCTGTCGTCACCTGAAAGCTGCCACACCAAACCTGGGAGACAGGGAGGGGACAGAAGAGGCTCGGCAGCAAAGTCATCCCCCAGAGCCACACGCACCCCCATCTCAGGCCGTGGAGGGGACCTTACTGTGAAAGCAGGCAGCAGTGGCTGAGTGAACTTGGCCTTGAAGGTGTGCAGCAGCTGTTTGGTGCGGGCGTTGTAGAAGGACAGGAGGCCTGGGTGGAGGGCAGAGGGATGGGGGACCAGTTAGAGGGTTTGCGGCAGAGAGATCAGACAGGCAGAGGCGGCTGGAGATGCCAGCTGGGGCCCAGAGTCACCTTGGTGGAAGTCGCAGTGCACGCCCAGGCAGTCAGGCACGGGGGCATCCAGCACCTTGGCCTTGTTGGCATGCTTGGCGGTGAAGCTGACCTGCAGCCAGTTGTTGATGTGCAGGCACCAGGACGCCGCGGTCTTGCCTAGCTGCTCGAAGCGGCCCAGGCTGCGGTAGGCCACCCCCACGCCGAATGCCTTGCTGTCTGGCTCGTAGTGCACCTCCCAGTAATGTTCCCCGCCGTCGATCAACGTGTCCCCTGTGGGGCAGGTTGGGCAGTGAGAGCAGGTAGAATAGGGTCCCAGGTGTTCTTCCACAAAGGGGCAGCCACCTAGGTACTCCCCAGACCACAGTTATTCCTTCCAGATACTCCTAGGTCCCCAGCTATTCCTCCCAGATATTTCCCAGGATTTATCAACTTCCTCTAGATACTAAGTCCAGATTCTCCCCAAGCTTCCACTAGTCCTTTCAGATTCTCTACAAGTACAAGCTACTCCTTCCAGATATTTCCAGGCCTAAAAAACTCTTTCCAACTCCCCATGTTCAGTTACTCCTCAATCCTCAGTTCTTCCCAGAAACTAGATAATCCCCAAACTTTGCTCCTGGCTGATTCCAAGTATTCCCTACTGGAGCCCAGATACTTTCCAGGACTCCAAACTCCTTCTTGTTGCTTCCCAGACTCCCAGTTTGCTCCTGGTGGAGACCAGGTTCTTCCAGGTCTCAGCTTTTCCTGGGGTTCAGGTCCCCTCCAGATATCAGCTGAATCCTGAGTCTACATCCTTTCCAGACCCCAGACCCAGATTCTTCCTACCTCAGTTACTCCCCATTCCAGCTATTCCTGAGTTTCAGCTGCTCTGAATACTCCTGCCCTACCCAGATCCCAGCTCATCTCCAGCTGAGAGCTCAGCCCCTCCCCAGAAACAGGACTAATTCCAGATACATTTCTTCTCCAGGTCTACTCTTCCCTGACCTCAGCTACTCTCCCAACCACAACTAGTCTATGCTCTTCCCAGGGGTTAGATAGCTCCCTCTCAAATCCCAGACACTCTACAGACACCCCGACACCTTCCCCTGCTTCCTCTCCAAACCCTAATTCTGGATAATCTCAGATGCTTTCCAGAAAATCCAAGTCCTCCATAGAACTTTAACTTCTCCTCAGGCCTTAGCTTATCCCCAAAACCTAGCAACTCCCTACCTTCCTCTCCCTTCTACCCCCTGATAGTACTGACCACACCAACTTCTTCAAACTTCAGCCTCTTTTTGAGCTCTTTTCTGGATAGTGGTGATTTCCCTAAACTCCAATTCTTTCACGGACTCCGGCTTCTCCTTCAGAGGATCTAATCACTTCTGTAGTGCTAACCAATTCTCCAATCCTAGGTATTCTCAACTTCTCTGACACCAGCTACTTTCTCTGGCTCCTCCAGCTGCTTTATAGGCAATCATTTCCTTCCCAGCTACTTCCCAAATCCCAGTTACTCCCCCAGTCCCAACTATTTGACAGACCCAGGAAATCCCCCCTCAAGCTCCCGACCAGCCACTCCCCAGTCCAGAGCCTCTTTCCTCAGCTCCCCTCAATAATCATTCCTCCCCAAACCTTCCCATTCCACCAGCACCACAACACGTTATTGGGACCATTCCCAGAGAAGCATTGTTGATGGCTGCCTCAGTTTCCCCAGCCAAAGGAGTTCTCTCCCGCACCCCAGCATCAGAGCCCTGGCCAGAGTCCCCCATTCTCCTCCAAGCTTCCCCCCTCCTTACCTAGCACCGTGTAGGACTCAGCTGTGAAGCGATCCCGTCCCCCACGACCTGAGGGTATCCTCTTGGGAGATGGAGTACCTCTGTGGGTGACAGGAAGGGGAGGGCTGAACTGAGCCCTCCCCTCCCCATTGGAATGCTTCTCTGGTCCAACCCAGCCATGCGGACTTCTCATCAGCCCTTGACAGTATTTGGTCCTTCTCATATCCTGGGCCCCTGATGTCAGAACATGCCCGTGGCCTTCCTTGTCTGGAAGACTGTTCAGCTGTCAATACCCAGTTCAAAGTCTCCTCTCCCTCGATTCACTATTTTGGCTCCCCAGCTCCACGTCCCTCCCTCCACCTCAGCCTTGACCACACTGGCCCATGTGCTCATGTCCATCTTGATCTCCTCTCCCAGAGACTTGGGGAGGGGAGTGGGCAGGCTACCTGGCTGGGGAGTTGACGGGAGACGCCGTCCGCCCCTTGCCGTCTTTCTCTCGAGCTTTGATGTCCTGCACCTTCCCGCCCATGGCGTCCCACTCCACGGAGAGATCGTCCACCCGGAGGTTCTGGTGGGATGTGGACGCATCCAGGCGGAACATGAACGCTGGGGCCGGGCAGACGTGGGAGTCACAGAGATGGGGAAACCCGGAGAGACACAGAGACAGAGAGAGACAAACAGTGACCAAGACAGACCATGACGGGGACAGAGAACAGAGTCAGAGAGAGAGAGAGACAGACACCGAGAAAGTCTCAGAGACAGACAGATACAGAGACGACAGGCAGAAAGACACCAAAAGACACAGACGGGGAGAAGGGAGGGGGCAGACCATACAGCCAGAGGAGTAAGGGCTTGTTGTCTAAAGGCTCCCAGGCCTGGAGCCATTTTCAAACCACTTGTGCTACCCGGAGCTTCCCTTGGGGATTAATCCCAGGAAAGGGGGTGGGCAGCAATATGACAGTTAAGCTTGACTGGGAAAGGCCATGCACCAAGAAGTGTGTGTCAGCAGCGCAGACAGGCTTCTAGGCCATGTTCCGTATTTGAATCCAAGCCTTCGGGGTGGCAGTCTTAGCTCTGAAGGCTAAGCAGTGTGTCTCGGGGAAGGGGGAGAGAGGAAGAGTGTGCGTGTGTGTGTGTGTGTGTGTGTGTGTGTGTGTGTAAACCATCCAGGTATAAAGGGATCAAGAGCCAAAGTAAAGGACAGAAGCAGGTTTTATACCAGACACTCAGGCTGCGGAATTCTACTATGGACTAAGCTCTGAGCTTTCCGGCAGCCAGAAAGGGCCAAAAGGGCCACAGCATCCTGAAGATTCTCATTTCACGCCCGTCCCTGGGGCCCCGGGCGGGAAGGGTTGTGGTGAGAGCCAGGGTAGGTGTGGGGGCCAGTCACCTGGTGTCTCCAGAGTCACTGGCTCGGAGAACTCGCCTGCAACTGCCTTATTGCAGGCCTTCACACGGAAATTCATGTACTTCATGTCAAACTTGAGGCCTAGGAGACAACAGAGGGAATCAGCATAGACTCGGAGCAGGGGGTTAGAAGCCCATGTGCCCCACAGTAAACCCGCCGCAGTAAACGCCTCATTCTAACGACATCTTACCTGAGAAACCTTTCCCGCATACACCTGTGCAGCTATGAATTCCCTGGCTCTGCACCCCACCCAGATGGGCCAGAGCCTGCCCTAGGACTCCGGCTGGTATTACAGGGGGCCGGGCAGAGCGGCTTTCTTCTCTGGGCTGGCCAGCTCGGAGGAAGTGCCTCCAGGGAGAATTGTCAGTGCTCTTGGCTAGTCTCCTGGGGAATGCAAGTCCCAGAGCCAGAAAGTGCAACCCCTGGATCTGGGCGTACCTGGTGACGTATTAAAGATTTTCCCTTCTACTAGGCTATATCTCGCCCTCCCTTCTGTCCTTTTCTTAAGGTTGCTTCCGATTTTTTTTTTTTTTGCTTCCGATCTTCAAAAATAAAAAGAAGCTTTCGAGCTGTCTTCCCCCTCAAGTTAAACCTCTTTGGAGAGCTTAGGAACACCCCCTTCGCTGCCCCCTCAACCTGATCCCCACCCCCCCACCCCCCAGAGCACTGCCCCCTCCTGGCTGCCCCTTCTGGTTGCTCCCCTGGGTCCTTGCAGGCTCCTTCCCACCTCACCACCTCTCCCGGGGTCCCACCCAAACTGCCTCACCCGTCTTTGGATTCCCTTCTCTGAATTCAGGGGTTTGCTCAGCAGCGCCATCTACTGCTCCAGAGCTAAAACTGCCACCCAGAAGGTTCAGATTCAAATACGGGACGTGGTCTAGTGGTCGGCAAACCGGCTCGCGAGCCACATGCGGCTCTTTGGCCCCGTGAGTGTGGCTCT